GATGGTGGAGGGTGCTGTGAAAACAAAGTAATCTCAATGACATCCCTGTGCCTGAATTAAACTGATCCGATGCTGCCACACTGGGCCTGGGGACAGTGATGGCATGCTCAGCAGAGAGCTGGAGGGAATTAAGGCTGCAGGTGGGCTCACTGTGGGCAGGCTGGCTGTGCCTGCAACAGCAAGGACCAAGCAGTGTTTGTGCTGGTGAAGTGACGGCATTGCTCCCTTGCTTGTTCTGGGAGGCTGTTGCTGTTCTGGCACATGCCACGCCACCCGTGTTGCTGCCTGTGTTATGGTGGTGTGCACAGACCACAAGCACTGCTTGTGTAGAGTGAAATGGACCTTCAATAGGAGACAGATTTTGTGGCTGTGTTTTTTAAATGTCTGCCACAGTGTCCTGGTTATGGCTGGGATAGAGTTAATTTTCTTCCTAGTAGCTGGTGCAGTGCTGTGTTTTGGCTTTAGTGTGAGAACAATGCTGATAACACAGCAATGTTTTAGTTGTTGCTAAGTAGCGCTTGCCCTGATCAAGGACTTTTCAATCTCTCATGCTCTGCTGGTGAGGAGGGGCATAAGAAGCTGGGAGGAAGCAGAGACAGGACACCTGACCCAAACTGGCCAAAGGGGTATTCCACACCACAGCACGTCATGCCCAGTAGAGAAACCAGGGGAGCTGGGGTGGTGGGGGTTATCCGGAAGGGACAGATCACTGCTTGGGTAGGGCTGGGTATCAGTCAGCAGGTGGTGAGCAATTGTATTGTGTCACTTGTGTTAATTGGGGTTTTCTGGGGTTTTTTTTCTTTCCCCTCTTGCTTTTATATTCTCTCCCCTTGTTATTTCCTGTATCATTATTAGTAGTTTTATATTGTACTTTAGTTACTGGACTGTTCTTATCTCAGCCCATGGGGTTTATGTTCTTTCAATTCTCCTCCACATCCTCCCCAGAGAGGGAGAGGGGAAGTGAGTGAATGGCTGCATGGTGCTGAGTTGCTGGCTGGGTTTAAACCAAGACACACAGGAAGGTCTGGCTGGCAGTCTGGATCAGCACGTCTAAATTTTCCCCATTAAAAAAAAAATAAATCATATTTGAAGAACAAACCCATTGCAAAATCAATCACTGGAAATAAAAGGATGTGAAAAGAGGAAGGAACTTTCAACACTGTCAAAGCAGCATTGTTCAAAACTGTTGTTTATTCATACAGTAATTATGCTGACTGACTTGCTTAGGGATACTTTCTATTTCCTTGTGTGCTTTCTGTGAGTTTAGGAACAAGGCGATCATCTCCTCCTGCCAAATTTCTTCCATAACCTTGTAACATTAGCAAGCAATTAATAATAAGTATAGTTCATAATTACAGGGTATATACTGTCCAAAAAGCTTTGCAAGGGAGCTTTCTCATTAGAATTAAGTATATACTAGAATGCATTATCTATAGTATACATAATGAGAATATATGTGATTTAAAATGATGACTGAAGTGAAGTGCCATGGCTGACTTTGGAGGAGATCCAAATGGCTGGACTGTCAAAGGTATTTAGTAGTAACTTGACAGAAAAAGCAAAACCAAGAACAATCTACTATTACTGACTTGGTGGATAAAAATAGCTTGTAAACTAATGACATCTACATACTGATGAATCCCTTGCTATTCATTATATAAAAATAACAGCGCATCTCCTTTTCTTAAGGCCAGGAAGTTCTCTAAGGAAATGGATTCATCTTCCCAAAAATACCCAGTCAAAAAGCGAGTGAAAATTCATCCCAACACAGTAACAGTGAAATATACTTCTCATTATCCCCAGCCAGGAGAAGAGGGATATGAGGATGCTAATGAAGATACTGGAGTATTTATGGAGGATAATCCTAAGAAAAGACTATTGAGTGATGGGAAAAAGAGAGAAAGGACTTTTTTTGGTGCAATAGACACCAAACTTCAGCCAGCACAACTGCCAAAACCCAATGAGATGGGGCAATCCCAGCATTTTCCTGAAGGAAATATACTGCAGTCGAGAAAAACATGGGTAGTCCTGTTTGGATCTGCTGTGGCTCACGGATGTGTGGCTCTGATTACAAGATTAATTTCTGATCGTTCCAAAGTGCCATCCCTAGAGTTAATTTTCATCCGTTCAGTCTTACAAGTGCTGTCCATTACTGTTGTGTGTTACTACCATGAGCCTCCCTTTGGCCCAAAAGGCTACAGACTCCGGCTCTTCTTCTATGGGGTCTGTAATGTTATCTCTATTACCTGCGCTTATACCTCCTTCTCTATAGTTCCCCCCAGCAATGGGACCATTATGTGGAGGGCTACCACTACAGTGTTCAGTGCCATTTTGGCTTTTTTACTCATAGATGAAGGAATGGCCTGCATAGACCTTATTACTGTATTTGGCAGCGTGTTTGGCGTTTGTCTGGTCATGATCCCCAATATTGTTAAGGAGGAAAACTCTTTACTAAGCACCTGGAAGGAAGCTTTTGGCTATACCATGACTGTTATGGCAGGTTTGACCACTGCTCTCTCCATGATAGTCTATAGGTCAATCAAAGATAACATCAGCATGTGGACAGCACTATTCACCTTTAGTTGGACAGGAACAGTGTGGGGAGCGTCCACCATGTTCTTACTTCAAGAGCCAATCGTCCCACTGGATGGAGAAACCTGGAGCTATCTCCTTGCCATCTGCCTGTGCTCCACAGCAGCCTTCCTGGGGGTCTACTATGCCCTGAGCAAGTTCCACCCTGCTTTGGTCAGCACCGTACAGCACCTGGAGATAGTCATTGCCATGGTCCTGCAGCTTGTCGTGTTGCGGATCTTCCCAGGTGCTTATGATCTTGTTGGGGGAGCTGTTATTTTGGTTAGTGTCTTTTTCCTTGCGTGTTACAAACTGTCCTGGAAGAATTTAGGAAGGCAAGATTATCAGGAGATTGTGGATTCTTCCATTAAATGAGTTGTGGTTTTGCCCTCTGAATCCGGCTGTGTGGCCACATGGAAGTTAGTTATTTCAACTCTTGCGTTCTAGAGTCACGTCTCTGTCTAGAGTAGCCAGGTCCTCTCCCTACTGTTTAAATTCACGGCTGGTGTAGCAGTGTTGGTGTTTCCAGACTTTTCTGGTAGGTGAATTTGTTCTAGCACATACCACCACTGGCATTTTGGCATGTGAGGAAAGACTATTTGTCTCCAGCATGTAGGGTACGTGAGCAGGGAGTGCAGGCCAAGCCTTGAGCAGGTCCCTCCTCACCTTCCCTGGATAAGGCAATACAGAGACAGAGGGATTCACTAGTGACTCTCATTCCTGTGCAATGTGGTAGTAGGAAAATGAGCAGTAAAGACCAGAGTACTCGTCTTCTCTGTAACAGTACTTCTGCTTTGGCTGTAATACTCAAAGTGATGCTAATATTTCTGTGGTTAAAACCTGCATTTCCTGTGTGTATAAAGAATCAGTCAGTAAAGCTGTTTGTGCTTTGTGGTTAAATTTCTGTCTGAATCAATGCAGAAAGCCCAGATCTCCTGTGGGGTTGAAAAGCCCCAAAAAGTGGATCTCCAGTTGTGCCACGGCTGTGAAAGGAAGGTCCCCAAGAACTCTAAGGTCCATGGTAGATCAGAGATCTGCCCCTGAAGCAGAACAATATTCCTTCTATGGAACCACTTTTTCTAAAAGAGGTTTTGACAATTATGCAAGGGAAAAAGAGGAAAAAGAAAAGGCAGCATTTGAGATTGAGGAGTGAACAGCAGTGGTAACATGGGCAGTTAGAATAGGATTTAGGAAAAGCCCCAGGGTTTTATGGTTCCAAATAGTATTCCTAGCTGTGCTAATGTATGTAAAGTACATTAGTACATACGTACATAGTAAAGACCAGTGTTTAAAAACCTATGTCCAGGGGCTCCTGGACCAACAGGCATCTCCCTGTTCCAGCAGACTATGCCTCTATTCTGGGACACATGCATCTTCTGAGGGGAAAGATACTGCTCAGATGACCCCAACCAGTCCAGCTTCCCCCATGGAAAATACATTTTACTTTGTAAAAAGCCACAGCATCAGCAAACACTTTTATTTCTATGAATATCCAGAGAGACCAGATTCCCCAACATCAACCCATCAGCAACACTCCTAATCCATGTGACACTTATGTCCTTTGTCAGTGATGAGAGTGACCTCCTGGGTCACACACTTCTTCAGAGATGGTGCTGGCATGGTTACAGCTGCCCCAGCATGTTTCCTTCAGGAGTACATGGAGCCAGTGACAGGAGTTCTGCCTACTGTAGGAAGGACAGGAGGGAGGAGAACAGATAACGCGATGCAGTGCTGGGAAAGCCACGCCAAACACCTTCCCAGCCAAAAACCCCCTTGGTAGCTGAGGGCCCTGGCAGTTCCCAGCCCAGAATCTTGCTGTGCTTCTACAGACTCCTCATTTCTCTCTGAGGCAGATGGTCTTTCCTCCTCTGTGCGGTAAGACAGCAGGAAAGCTTCCTTTGTGGAAAGCAACCAGGCCAAAATCCATCTCCTAGGGCTTCCACACTTGTAATGCCTTGGATGAGTTGAGCTTTGGGACTCCAGCATGCCAACATGCACACATGCATGCAGGCAGGCAGCTGGGTATGTGCTGGCAAGCAAGAAGCACTCTATAGTGAAATTCCCCAAATGCCTGCACCATGCAGAGGGTGTGAGAGTCCTGACCAAGCTCTTGCTGAGCTGCCCCAGCACAGCTCCTTGCTGCCTCCACCGCCTCTGCCAGCTTCTCTGCTCAAGCTGCACATGCTACAGAGCCTTGCCAGCCCTGCTATGACCCCTGTGAGCGCAAGTTAAGCAGCCCTAAGAGTACACGGCTGCCGAAACGGATGATCCCACTTCTTCCTCCTACCACCTCCCCTTGTGTCTGATTCACAGTCACAAACTGCAGGCTGGGTCAGTACAACTTGGGGATCAGGTACAAAACTAATCCTGCCAAAACCTGAGCCCAAACTGATAAAGGCAGCCAGCAGCCAGGAGCCAATCAGACACGACCCCATCCCAAGAACCTGGGTGATGGCCAGGGAGCAATTCCCGAGGTCTACGGGGCTTGGTCCTGGTCCAGCTGCATCACAGCCTGCATGAGGTCCTGCACAACCAGGTCCACGTCGGCCCGGGTGGTGTCCCGCCCCATGCTCAGCCGCAAGGCGTTCTGTGCTACATGGTAGGGGATCCCACAGCTGAGCAGAATCGAGGAGGGCCTGAAACACAGACACAGGGGAGAGCAGAGTTAACTTGAAGGCTGAGGAAGCACACGTCATCACCAGAAATCTTCACCAAGCCCTAAGAGGGAGCACATCTCTAGGCAAACCTGTCTCCTGCACTGCTCCCTCTGGGCTTGTTACCCCGTGGAGGATTTGGTTCTTGCCCTTCAAGGAAGGGCCTCTCCCATGACCCCATGGGTTGGCATTTCTGACATGTCTAGACAGCATTACTCTAGATCAGGCCAGTTGCCTGCTGTCCCCACACACCCCCAAAGGAGCCCACTGGAGGCCAAATTTGGGCTCGAGCAGGTGAGCCAGGCACACACAGACATAAGGCAGGCTCTTTTCTGGCAGTGCCAGCCACTGAAGAGTACTTCCAAGCTCAGCTGCATCACCAAAGCCAGGAGGGCCAAAGTCCTTCCAAGCACCAGTCAAGCATTCCATCTGCGCCTCCTGCAATAGGAGCCCTTCAGACCCCCTGGAAAGCTCTGCACCCTCTTTGCTCCAGATGACCATGCCCACAGCAAACCAAAGTCCCTTTCCCTGTCCTATTTCCCTCTCCTTTAGGAAGACACCCTCAGCCTGGCCAAGCCAGCTGCTTACCTATCTTCTTTCTCAGAGTGGCAGGCAGCCCCAACACTGGCGAGAAGCATCTTACAGCAGGACAGCACCCTTCGCCCTGCAGCACACACAAGCACAGGTCTCCCATCACCCAGACTCTGCGAGGGCCATTGCCTGCTTCATCTCTCTGCCAAAGCCTTGGCTGAGCACTCGCTGCTCTCTAGCCACAGGGTGCTGTGCAGGGCAGGTGCTTGGCTCCATGGGCACCATCATGGGGCAGCGGTGGGGTAAGAGCTACCTTGAAGGCCTGGGCCCAGGATGGAAAAGTTAGAGGTGTTGCAGAGTCGCTTGGAGCCTGTAAAGTGGCTGTTGAGGTGGATCCTCTGCTTCCCAAAGCAGGCCTGGAGAAATCAGAGTTGTGAACCACTCTAGATTTGCGAGCAGCTCTGTCCTGATGAGGGTCATACCCACTCTGGCACCAGGCCTCATACTCTGCAGGCTGAGACCCCAGAAGGGGAGAGACAAACAGGAACAAGGTCTGCCCACCTCCAGTTTGGCCTCCAGGTAATCCCGAACATCCCGCATATGAGCCTCATAGGTCTCCCAGTTCTTGCTCACCAACTCTGCAGCCTGAGGAGAGAAAACCCAGACAGGCTCTGTCGGTAACCCCCTGACACCTCCTTCTGTGCACAGCTCACTGGCATGTGAATCCAGCCTGGGAACTGCCAGATTCCCTGCATCAGTAGCCTCTTGGTGCCTCGCACAACGTGAGCTCCATGACTGCCCACTGCCAGGGCTGCAAAGCCTGCAAGTGCTCTGAAGCACCTCCTCTGACTGGTACCAGAAAGCCCCATCTTCTTTCCCAGTGATTCACTCACCCTCCCGCACCCCAAGTTTGTCACTTCTAGTGACCAAGGAGCACAGGTGGCTGCCTCCATGCTGGAAGCACCAGAGAGCACCCCCAGAGAACTGCTCACTCATGAACATCACTGACTCACCTTGCCAAGGCCAGCAATCATCGGGGTGTTCTCAGTGCTAGAAGCAAAGAGTGAGTTATTTCTCCGGACCAGAAACCCAACCTCAGGGTACAGCTGTTTCCCTCATTGCTGGTAGGGGGTCATGGACCCTTCTCTATGGTGGTTCGGAAGGGAGCACTTCCACCCTGTGGTTCTTCCTGCAGCAAAGCCCGCACACCAGGATCCCACAGTTCCCATGCACAGATCCATCTCCCTGCGCTGGGCTGCCCACCCCAGGGCTGGCAAGTGACACAGCTGCCAGCTCAGCTCCGACTATGTACCTATGTAATGGTCTGGCCACCAGCCCAAGGCCTAGCTCTCCAGGCCATCACCCAGCTGCCTTACCCTGGCCGGAAACTCCTCTCCTGTCCCCCTCCAAAGAGCATGGGGTGCAGCGGGGTGGCAGTGCCAGGGCCGCGTGCATACAGCGCGCCGATCCGTGGGCCATAGAACTGTGGGGAGAAACAGCCACGGTGACCCTGGGGACACTGCCAGGTATCCCTTTCCTGTACTCCTGCCCAAATCTGAGTGCCCTCCAGTGCTGACCCCTGCCCATCTCACAGGCTGCTATACAGCTGTCCCCCTCCCTTGGCCTCCTCCTGGTTCCCCTTGTCACCCAGCTGAAGACGGTCTTCAAAGCACCATCCAGCAAGAAAACTTTGGCCACTGATGAGGTATTAAGCTGTAGGGGGCTGCCAAAGTCTCCCTGGCACCCAACAGAGATGTCTTAGAGGGCAAACAGCGGCTGGGCCACGTGAACAGCACCATACCTTGTGTCCCACAATAGTGAGGTAGTCCACCCCGAGCTCCTGCACGTCCACGCGCCCCTTGCCAATCATCTGTGCTGCATCTGTGTGCACCAGGATCCTGGGCAGCCCCTCCGCCACTCTCCGCTGATTGAGGGCACAGACACGCTGGCTCAGCTCCATGACAGGCTGGCAGGAGGGAAAACAGTCTGCATCCCAAGGACTGTGTGCTCCCTCCTACCAAGCACCTTTCCATGAGGACATCCCTACCGCATCCTACTCACTGCCCACAGACTCACCATGATGACCCCAGTCTCGTTATTGGCCAACATGATGGAAACCAGGCAGGTGGTCGGCCGGATGGCAGCGAGGACATCATCCACCTCAGCCCGCCCGCTTCGCTGGGACACAGGCACAAAAGTAGCTTCTGCAAGCCAAGAAACAAGCCCCGAGGTTTGTTGGGAAGCCCAACAACGACCAGGGCTGCCTGCACCCCACTGAGCAGTGGGGCAGCAGAACTGTGCGGGCAGCAGAACTGTGCAGGCAGCTGGTGCGCAGGCAGAGAGCATGGTGGCTCTCAGGATGCCAACAGGGTAATGCACCCAGCTTAAGGAAAGGGGGACACCACGTGGGAAGTCAGTGCCCTTTGGGAGGAGAAAGAGGAACACCACGAAGCAAGCGTGTCCCTGCCCTCCACAAAAGCACCAGTAAAGAAAAGCCCCGGTTGCAGGGCCCAGATCTGCAGCCAGGT